TCTCAAGGACACAACCACTGCACCCAGAACAGTGGCTTCCCTGTCTTATCTTGCTTCTTGCTGTAGCTGATTTTTCAGCACACAGACACAGAGATACTTGCTGCTTTTAACTCAGAAAATGCTTAATACAGTTAAATGATTACTTGACACAAGCAAAGGCTTAGCTATCCTTCTGCCTTGTGGGCAGCTGCATTGCTAGGCCACAGGTCATGCCTTGTATTCAGCTCCAAAGCTAATACTTCTTAATAATCCAAATGATTGTTAACCTAACAGTATGCTATCAGAAAACGATTCTATTTCAGGGCAATAACAAACCTGCGCACTACATCAGCGAGGTCCCTGGTGGGGTCGGAAGGGGGGTTACTTGCTGGGCTTGCTGCACAATTTACCACATCAGCAAGTTCAACCTGTCACGTAGCTATATAAGGCTGATGCCCGCTTGGGTGGGCGTGCTTGCTTTGCGAACAATTGCCAAGCACCGCTTTCTGCGCAGAAATAAAGTTGAAGTTGGATCCTCCACCCCTGTGTGTTTATTGGCAGAAGCGCACCGGGCACGTACCCACTGTCCTTTGGGGACAACACTAGTGACAATTCGGGTGGCCCCGTTCCACAGTCTGGGGGGGCTGGTGCCCCGGGGGGGAGGGAAGGAAGGGGAGGAAGAGGCGCATGCCGCCCCCCAGCCCCACAGCGGGCGGGCACATGGGTGGATCTAGGATTTAGAAACAGGGGTGCAGGTGGGGCGGCCCGTCCTCTTGTACAAAACACCGGCTTTTGGCCACGACCCGCGATGTCAGCGGTCTCCCCTGACGTCCACACCAGGTAGACGTCCTCCCCCGCTGGTGTCCGGGGGCAGGCAGGGAGGTGAGCAATCGCTCTTGTTCTGCGGCAAAGTTTAAAACCCGAAAAGGTGCGCGGGCAGGACCCCACCCTTCTGCACCTTCCGTGCCGCGCCCGCACTCCGCACATTACGGTAGCGCTGACGTCACGGGGAAGCTGAAGGTCGCGACGCCCTTCGCGTGCGCTGCGTGCGCTGCGTGCCCCTCCGGTCGCATCCCCCCACCCCGCGCGCATGCTCCAAGAGCCCCCCCCACCGCCC